AACCCCAAAACCCCAAAACCCCAAAACCCCAAAACCCCAAAACCCCGAATAATTCACTTAAATTGAAACATAGATTATGAAAGCATTCTCTTATTTAGTTAAAAGAGTTAGCTTAGATCTAGTCGATCAATTTAAGCTTTTCATTGGATATGTATAGAAAGCTTGAATAAGAAACAAGATTGAGTCTCAAGTTATTGGCTTAGTAGCGATCTTTTCTGTAAGAGTCTCTTCCTCCACCAGAGTATCCTCCGGAGCGACCACCTGAATAGCCACCGGATCCTCCGTAACCACCGCTACTCTTGCCATAACCTGATCCTGCATTATAGTCACCGCCGTTGCCACCGTATCCTCTGTTGCCGCCGTATCCACCGCTGCTACCTCCATAGCCACCGGATCTGTCTCCTCTTCTGTCACCACCGAAGCCACCTGATCTTCCACCAAAGCCGCCTCTGCCTCCACCGAAGCCACCTGATCTGCCTCCGAAGCCGCCTCTGCCGCCTCCGAAGCCACCGCCGAAGCCTCCATCTTGCTCGAACAACTCTGGGAGCTCCTTGGCTACTTCCAGGCTGTAGCTCATCATTCTTCTTGATTCTTTCTCGTTATTGTAAAGGTCATCGACACGATCAGCGTGTTCTTCAGGGACGTCAAAGACGACTCCTTTCTTGTCATTGTATATCCTCATACCTCTGATGCCATCTACGATGTCTTGGGGAAGGAGTCTCCTAAGGATACTCCATACGTAGGAGACACCCTTGAACTCCATGGTAGTCTGGACTGTGTAAGTCACAAAGTTCTCCTGTCCGGTGAGCAAAGATCTCTTCTTTAGTTTTTCAGTAGTACCTGAGATGTAGGCCAAAGCAAGAGATACTGCCTTCATGGCACCCTTCTCTTCGATCAATTTTTGAGCAGTTTCTTCGAAGAGGTGAGTTACTGAATCATCTACCTTCTCGAAACCCTTGATGGCTTCATTAGCTGAGGCTTTAATGATATCAGTTGGTTGAGGAGCTCCAATCTTCTTAAGCTTAATTCCAGCTTTTGATTCGATAATATTAATCAGTCCTTGTTGCTTCCTGTTGAAGAAAGTAATGCAAGTGCCGCTAGTTCCAGCTCTGGCTGTACGTCCTGATCTGTGAATATATGTTTCAACGTCCTTTGGTGGCTCAAGTTGAATAACAAGATCAACGTTTGGAATATCTAGACCTCTAGAGGCAACATCAGTTGCTACTAAAACGTTGAATTTGCCATCTCTGAATCTTTGTAGTGTTACTTCTCTTTGGTTCTGGGCAATATCTCCATGGAGTACCTCTACGTCAAGCTTCACCTTATCTGCAAGGAGGACACTGTTAGCGTCATTCTTTGTTTGAGCAAAGACGATGGTCTTACCATGGAGTCCACCATAACAGAGCAATATGTCAGCTAGAGTCGCGGTCCTGTTGAAGAACGGACAATTGATGGCTAAATGCTGCACTGTCTTTGAGGTCTTATTCTTCAAGTCCTTAACAAGATCAATAAACTTGTAGTCTGGGGTCAGGAATTTTCTTGACACTTCTTTTACCCAGGATGGGACAGTAGCAGAGAACAAGAGAAATTGTGTTTTCTCTTTAGCATCTCGCTGTATACTTCTCATAATTTCTTCAACATCTTCCTTGAATCCCATGTTGAGCATTTGATCAGCTTCGTCTAAACAGATAGTCTTGATGTCTCTGAAGTCGATGTTTCCTCTCTTAATGTGGTCTAGAACTCTACCTGTAGTACCAACGAAAAATTCGACACCGCTTCTTAATTCACGAGTCTGGTCGTCAATCGAGACTCCTCCATATACGGTGATCACCTTGTATTCACTGTCGTAGGACTTGAGAGCCTTCAGTTCTTTAGAGACTTGGAGTGCAAGTTCTCTTGTGGGGGCAAGGATGATTGAAAGCAACTTCCTTCTACCTCCAACTCTATTCTCTGGTTCATAGTAACCCATCTTTCTGAATTTTTCTACTAATGGGAGTGAAAAAGCTAGTGTTTTGCCTGAACCGGTCAAATCTCTGGCAATCATATCATTTCCTTCGTAAATTGCTCTGAAGGTAGCTTCCTGCACAGGGAACAACTTAGTGATACCTCTGGCATTGAGGTTCTTGATAGTAGTGGCTCCAATCTCTGGGAAGTCTCCAAAATTTGTCTCATTAGTAACAACTGCAACTGGGGTCTCGTCCATAGCGCTTCCTTCTGAGTTGTCCTTGGAAGTTCTCTTCGCGTCTCTTTTCTTTCCAGTATCATATTTATCTTCTTCTAAGTACTTAGGGGAGCTCTTCTTGGCATCTGAAAACCTAGATCTCTTTCTCGATTTGTGAGTGTCTGACATTTGTAGAATAATCAATTAATTATCTATAGAGAGGGGTTTTGGGGTTTTGGGGTTTTGGGGTTTTGGGG